CGCGGCTCCTGCCCGGTGCTCGCCCAGCGCCCGCCGTGACGAGCGGTGAGATCACCTCTGCTCTTACCTCCGGGGCCGTGACAGCGCCCTGCCCGCGCCACCCGCACCGCGCCGGCCCCGCGGGCAGAGCCCCCGCGCCGCCGAGCGCCTTCCAGGGAAAGCGGAAAGGAAAAAAAGGAGGGAGACGGAGCGGGACGGTGCCCTGCGCGGCCACACACCGGGCAGGCGCGGAAGGAAGGGCATCACCCGGGGCGGGCCCAGCCCCGCCCGGGCCGCGGCACTTACTGGAGTGGCGGCAGTGCGGGAGCCCCGTGAGGAGAGCCGGGCGCTCCCGGGCGCGCTCCCGGCCCCGCTCCCGCACCGGGAACGGGCAGCTCCCGCCGCCTCCGTCCGCGCCGCCGCCGCCCGCACTGCGCATGCGCCGCCGCGCCCAGCCCGCGCCGCCCCGCGGCCTGCTGGGACATGTAGTGCGGCGTGGCGGCAGGGGCGAGGCGCGGGGCATGGTGGGAATTGTAGTCCAGGCCGTGGGGTTTTAATCGCGTATTTGATGGAGAGGCCGCAGCGGGGAGGGAAATGTTGCAAATTGTGCAGAAATTCTTCCCTGCGAGGGCGAGGAGGCCCTGGCCCAGACAAGCTGTGCTGCCCCATCCTTGGAAGCGTCCAAGGCCAGGGTGGACGGGGCTTGGAGCAGCCTGGGATGGTGGAAGGTGTCCCTGCCATGGCAGAGGGTGGAAACTCGTGGGCTTTGAGTCCCTTCCAACCCAAACTGATTTGTGATCTGTGATTCTGTGAACCGCCATTCACCGCCCACATGACATTGAGCAGGCCAATTGCCAGATTCTGCACCTGGGATAGATCAGCCCTGGATGTCTGGACAGATTCTGGAATGTCACTGGAGAGCAACGCCCTGGAACAGGACCGGGGCGTCCTGGCTGGTGCAAATTGAATGGGAGTCAGCAGCACCCCTAGAACACATAGCACAGTTGGCTTCCCTTACCCAAGGAGCTAACAAGCTTTAAGGATGCAGTAAATGTTGATATATGTCTGTGTATACTTTGCTAACGTGGCAAAAAGCTCCAGGTCTGTGTATCCCACAGCTGAACTATCTTCACCTGGAGGCTCAGGTGCTGCCTCACAGCCTTTTGCCATCGGTCCTAGCGGCAAATGACAACTTCCCAAAGTGATGTTTAACCAGTTTTACCAGGAAGTTACTTCTTTTCTAAGCAAATATTAAATTTATACTGAAAAACTTTGTGTTTTCTGAAATAGCAACACAGACATTTTTTTCTCCTCGTTTAAAGCAGTGATATCTCTAATTATGGAAATCATTTGAACTCTGCCGCTGCCTGTAAATGCATCTTTGTTTCAAGCTGGCATGTAACAACCCTACTTCACAGTGAGACAAAAGCTGTAATCAGAGCACAACAATAAAAGCTGAAGTCAGCCGCAAACAATGCCTCACCATTCCCATGGCAACTTTTCCCTATCAAACCCCGGAGAGGTCACACACTCTGCAGCTGCACCAGCCAGAAGCGTTTCAGTTTGGACTTCATTCACAATTATTCCTACATTTTTTGGGCCGTTTTTCACTTAAAAGTGTTTTACTGGAGATCATACAAGGCAATTAGCAGTGGGTGGCACCACGTCTCTCCCCCACTAGAGTTCCAAAGTGACTTTTCTCATCCTTGATGGGACTGCAGGATGCATCCTGCCATCACAATGCACATGGAAGAGCCTTTTACAAAATTGTACACCCCTTCTGCATTCAAAAATCCATGTAGTCAAAAGCCATTTCACAACAGATGAAAGCTACAGCAGCCTGCAGTCTGATATGCCTTAACTTGCAAATATTTTCTCCAGCCTCCCACACAAGGTTTGAATAACCATATATTCTGACAGTAGGACTCAGGAAAGGCTAAAAAGATAGTTACATTTAAAAAGAATGAGTTTATTTTATTGGAGTTTGGTAGCAAACCTCATATTATGCTTTACCATAGTTTCTATCATGGAACATTACTGCAGCTTTGCTTTGAGGATGGCCTAATTCTCCCAATTTGGTATATAGGAGGAGACAATCAGGTATATAAAGAACTATTTTTACTTAAACTGAGACACAAATACTTTAAAATAGCTGCATTCTGTCGGCTGTGCTGTTCACACAAGTATTTTCATGAAATTCACATCTGGAGAGCCAAATTATGCAGTTTTGTGAATCTTTGATGTCCAAGACATAAATGCAGTTATCATTAATGCCCCAACTTAAAGCAAAATTTGCTTTGAGTAGAAAGCTTCTCATAGTTCTAGTGTTATGAACTCTAGTGGTACAGAGGCTACTGAAAGCTCAGCTGAGCTCCCTGGCTTCCAAACAATTCCATATTTTCAGTATTCCTCTCTGTGGGATGTGCAAATGCAACAGCTGAAAGTGATTGTGATGCCAAACAGGTAAACTTTGGGTGTGAAGTGACTGGGTGGCCCAGGGACTTTCCCATTCTGCACTGCAAAGCAGGCACACAGAGATTGCAAAGGACAGAATCTATATTTTACCCCCTGTCTAAAAATATTCAAGCACAAGATTGCACTGGCTTCTTCTCCATGCAATTCCACTTGACTTCAGAGCAGAAATTGGTTCAGAGCCCAGTATATTCCAGCAGAAGTATGAGACAGACACTTATTTCCTCTCCAGTTGTCTCTATTCATAGTTTTCAAACACTGGCAGGTATCCCCACAAAAGTCTTCATGGCTGGCAAAAAAATGTTGGCAGAACTCTGCTGTGCCAGTCCTTTACTCAGAGCCTGCTTGTGATTCTTGTCACTGAAATAGGTAGGAGGGTTTGCACATCAATTCCTGCTGGCATTTCAGTTACTCAGAATGCAGATTATAATAAATAGCATTTGGTGAGTGACCTGCAGCAATATGCACCATTAAGAACAAGTGTTTATTTCACAAGGTGTAGAAACTCCCAGAGGGACAGTAGTACCAGAGGAGCAGCATGTATCTATCCATATAAACGCAAACACACAAACAGAAATATGCAAATCACATGCATATCTTGTAAATATAAACACACAACTTGCATGTCTTGGCAACGAAGCAGAAACATCCAAAAATTCCGAAATACAGCTTTCTAATTATATTTTCATGATGGATAATTTTACCCAGCAGAGGAAGTTCAGCAAGTTTATAGATATGCAGAAATAAAGAGCTATGAACAAAACCTCACTTCATGGCTCTAAAGAAATTAATTCGGCCTGGGACAAAACGGTTTTGTGAAAACTAACAGTTATGTTGCCGTGGAAAACAGGAAAAAAGCCTGGCCAGTAAATTACTGAGTGCAGAGCAAAATGCTGTCACTATATTCTGTTTTTATGGGTTCAATATTGCAAATTCCATCCACATGCAGTATGCCTCCTGTGCACTATTTTAAGAGGGGTGTTGCTGACCTCAATGGGACTGCTTTTCATAGAGGCTGTGACCAGGCAAGGTCATTACTCTGCTGACACCTTCAGTGTTAGCATCCAAGGAAAGCTTTTCAGTCACTAAACTCCATCCCAGAGGATGAATGTCTGAGTTTACTGCAGTGGCATGGGTCTAATTAGGTAGTATTTATTACCTAATTAAATTATTTGCCATAACAGAGAGAGAGAGACCAAAAATTCTCCAAGGCTGCAGCCAGTGTGACCTGGGGAAGAACAACCTTTGCTGTTTCAGGGTTTCCAGTTCTGAAACACGTGAGTAAGGCAATCTCTGAGAAATGATGTTGTCCTGTCCACCTCAGGAGTAACCCCTTGTTGAAGGCAGCTGCTGGAGAAGGTGACACTGATTCCTGAGTGAGCCTAACAGGTAATGAGGTGTGGGTGTCCAGAGGTTCCCTCTGGCTGCCCTGGCAGGTCTGGGACCCTGGCAGGGGTCAGGAACCCCCTGGACAGAGCCCCCAGATACACTGTCTGTGATCTCTGTCCATGGAAAAGAGTTTTCCATCTTACAGCATGGATTACAAGCTCTGAGTGATTGATATAAGTAATAATTAAGTGTGGCACGGGTGCAAAAGTAAAATTTTAGGATTCTAGATGAGGGGTCCAAAGGGGACAAGGTGGAGGAAATTGGGTGTGCCTTGTCCTTTTTCTCCTTCTTCATGCCCTCCATGTCTCACTGTGGTGTTGGCATTTTTCTGTTGGTTCAGGCTGGGGACACACTGTCCAACGTAGGTGACAGATATTGGCACGTTATTGTAAATGCAGCCCAGGGAGTTTCTGGTATTTAATGTTTGTCACATCCCACTGAGGGCAGAGCCCCACACGCTGCCCTGCAGGACAGAGCTGGGCAGGGCAGCAGAACATGTGAGAGATAAACAGAATAAACAACCTGGAAACCAGCACAGACCAATTATGGCTTCTGCTTTGGCAGGAGAGCAGAAAGACAGAGACTTTCTACAATCTCAGGATCATCAATACCACAGATTCTGACAGTGAGGGACAAACACCCTGTGCACCCTGCAGGTGAGCAGCTGAAGCACTGCTGAATGTTTCCCTCCAGTCAGTGCCTTTCAGCAGAGCTCTGCATCTGATGGGCACCTTGAGACAACACAGACAAAACCTCCTCGTGAAGGAAAGGAGCAGCAGCTTTAAAATGCCTGCACGTATGAGCAGATAGTTTCATTTAAAAGCTGCTTTACAGCATATTTGCAATACGAATTTTAAAGTTAAAACTTCATCTCTTCTGATGAAATGATGTTGACAGAGCTTGGAAATTTAATCTCACGTGGAGGTTCAGCTTCAGCTGCCAGTTGCTGGGTCTTGTTATTAATTTTATGTTAAAGTAGAAAAGCATCCTGATATAGCTGCTGTGGATGAGCACTGATACACAGTGCTACAGTGATGAAGTAATTTCCCAGCCTTTTAAATACTCTGTTTCCCTGAAAGCCATATTTAAACACTTTGAGTTTGTTAGGAGTTTAATATTTTTATGGTGCAGTTGTTTTCCTCATTCCTATGTGCATTGCATTATTCTAAAATACATATGGTGATTCCTCATTTTCTACCAAACCGTGAATTTTTATTTTGCTTCCATCTTTCTAGACATAAAATTCATTAGCAAAAAACCAAAAAAGTCCTTTTCCCCCCTTTTGTCTATTCTAACCTAAAACCATTCCATATTAAAAAATAAAGTGAATTGTCTTTAAAATACAGTGTCCCTGCAATAAAAAGATTGAAATGCTTTCATTTCATTTCAAAGCTTAAAAGATGAGAGCTTAATCTTCTTCAGAAAAGGGCGTATTCTGCACTGAAATGTATGCAAAGTGCCCGGGGGGCTTCCAGCTCACCCTGCTGCTGCAGTCAGGTCAGGACAGTGCCTTGCTGCTGCCATGGGGCAGGATGGGAGGCAGAGGCTCACTATTTTGTG